AGAGAGAGAGAGAGAGAGAAAGCATGAGCAGGGAGAGAGGCAGAGGGAGAAGCAGGCTCCTCGCTGAGCCAGGAGCCCGATGTGGGGCTCAATGTGGGGCTCGATCCCAGGACCCTGGGATCATGACCTGAGCCGAAGGCAGACGCTTAACCATCTGAGCCACCCAGGTGCCCCAAGGGAGAGAGAGTCTTAAGCAGACTCCGTGCTGAGCACAGAGCCTGACGTGGGGCTCGATCCCATGACCCTGAGATCATGACCTGAGCTGAGACCAAGAGTTGGACGTTTAACTGACTACACCACCCAGGTGTCTCAAGAATGCTGTAGGCTTCTGTTTAAAGATGGTAGATGGACTACACACATTTATCAAGAATGACATAAACCCATAGGACAGAGAAAATGAAAGACAATGAAACAGCAACAAAATTTTGGAAAATGGAAAGCAAACAGAAAAGCAGTACGTGTGTTATCGTCATATCTAAGCTGAATCCTAAGCCAGCAGAGGAAGGAAACCAAGAAGCCACCAATTTGTTCTCCTCTCCTGGCTCAGGTTTAGGAGTACTAAGTACTCTTGAAAGTTGGAGTGAAGGTAAGACTGAACCAGGAAACTGGTTTACAGAACAGGCTGCCAAATCCTTCTTTAAATTTGCACAGTTGGCTAACTGCCCTTCCTCCCAAAAGAGGAATGGAGGTTTCATCTCGCAAGATTTATCAGAGCGACTCTGACTGAAGGACACAGGTTCAACTGAGGGCAAGAGTACCATATTCAAAACAGGGGAATTCTATATACCACTTATCTCTTCAAAAGGATAGAATGACATCCATAAAATAAGAACAGGATGCTGAATAAGGGAGTATACTATACAGGGTTAAAAAATTCTTAGAAATTAAAAATATAGCAAAAAAAATTTTTAAACTCAGAAGAAGGGGTAGAAAATAAAAATGAGTAACCCTTTCAAATTAAGATAAAAAGACAGAGATGGAAAATAGGAACGGTAAGATAAGTAAGATCATGTCCAACCTTGGAGTAACAAGGACTGCCAGAAGAGGAGGAAACAAAAAATGGAGGGGAAGGAATTACTAATTTGAGAAAGTGAGGAACCAACTTCCCCGGCTGAAAAAGTCCACTGAGTACTAGCAAAACGGAGACCTGTGGTAAAAGTTCAGAGCACTGAATGTGAAGAGAAGGTCCCCAAAGATGCCAGAGGAAAAGAAGCCACACACAATGATCAAAAATGAGAAGAGCACAAGACTTCTCAACAGCAAAAGTGGAAGCTAGAAAAGAGCACAACAATGCCTAATAAAATGAAAGGAAAATAACTTATGACCTTGAATTCTCCATCTAGGCAGCATTTAGCAATATCTGAAGACATTTTTAGATGTCACACCTGGGAAAGGGGCGCTGCTGGCATCTAGTGCGTTGCCTCTATGTGTATAGGAAAGAACTTGAAAGAAACCTCACACTTGGGGCGCCTGGGTGGCTCAGTCGTTAAGTGTCTGCCTTCGGCTCGGGTCATGATCCCGGGGTCCTGGGATCGAGCCCCGCATCAGGCTCCCTGCTCAGCGGGGGGCCTGCTTCTCCCTCTCCTTCTCCCCACTGTTCATTCTCTCTCTCTCAAATAAATAAAATCTGGAAGGAAGGAAGGAAGGAAGGAAGGAAGGAAGGAAGGAAGGAAGGAAGGAAGGAAGCTCACACTTATACAGAAGTAAACTGGGGTTATAGCACAGCTGAGTGTTCCAGAGAGATGAGTGAGACTTTTCCCATTTAAAGAAATCCCCTGTTACATTAACTAAAATACTAGGTAACATAATTTATTAACATAGAGTACTTACTTAAGCCTTTGTACCCATCAGTATACACTTTCATTTCAAAAGACAAAAAATTAAAACCAAAATAATTACCATTATGCTGAAATTCTGGATCTCTCAGAGAGCCCTGAATTCGACGGGAGGGATGCCAGTAGGATGGAGCACAGGGTGGAGAAGGAGACTGCCCAGGTGTGTTTGTTGGATATTCTGGAATTTTTGAAACTGGAAGAGTTACCTCAGCAAATTTGGGGATATTGGTTTCAGAATCTTCCCTCAAAGGCAGAGGATCAACTGTTTTTATACCAGCAGCTGGAGAAGTCAGGAGGGATATAGCGTGACTTTCTTTCTAAGTGACAAAAAAAAAAAAATACAGATATGTGTCTGTAATATATATAAAAAATCAAAACTTTAAACACAAAAAATATAACCATAAAAGCAATAGGAGAAATTATGGGTAAAATCTATGTAACCTCTGCATGGGGAAGATTTTATAAGCCCAACAACCAATATTGGTAAACATATTTAGCTATATAAAAATATACAAACATTAAAAAAATTTTAAATCACAAATTTGAGGAAAATATATAACTTATATATTGACAATGAATTATCATTGCTCCATAAATATTTCTTTTAAAGTAGTAAAAGATAAACTCTGAGAAACAAACAGGGTTTTAGAGGGGAGGGGAGAGGGGGGATGGGTTAGCCCGGTGAGGGGTATTAAGGAGGGCACGTACTGCATGGAGCAGTGGGTGTTATACGAAAACAATGGATCGTGGACCACCACATCAAAAACTAATGATGTATTGTAGGTGACTAACATAACATAATAAAATTTTAAAAATTAAAAAAAAAGATAAATTAAAAATGGAAAAAGGATATATATAAGCAATTTGTACAGACATAAATTACAAATAGCAGAAATATCTTACCTCACTAGTAATCAAATAATTTCAAAATAAAAGCATCAAGATACTAATTTTTCACTTACTAAATTAAAAGATTAAAAATTTTTTTAAAAGCCATACTATAATACCCAGTGCTGACAAGGATGTGGAAAAACTGGCACTCTCCTAGAGTATTGTTGGGAGCACAATCTTTCCAGGGAGCTGGAGAAACAGCAAAAGCCTTAAAACTTTGTGTTCTTTTTTTTTTTTTTTAAAGATTTTATTTATTTATTTGACAGAGAGAGACACAGCGAGAGAGGGAACACAAGCAGGGGGAGGGGGAGAGGGAGAAGCAGGCTCCCCGCAGAGCAGGGAGCCCGATATGGGACTCGATCCCAGGACTCCAGGATCATGACCTGAGCCGAAGGCAGTCGCTTAACCAACTGAGCCACCCAGGCGCCGGTTAAACTTTGTGTTCTTTTATCACACAGTTACACTTGGAGAGTATTTACACAAAAAGAGATAATATGAACAAAAAAGCAGCTAAAGGACAATTTCTTTATAGCATTTTTTCAAAACAAAAACTTAAGAAATAACAATAGGCATCTAGTTTTCAAAAAATTGCTTTCAACAATAAACAACCGGTATAACTATAGGTTGCATATCATGTCACCTTTAAAACTTAATTTTAAGTGATATATAATGATATGTAAATATGTTCACAATTCATTGCCAAGTGAGAAAAAACAGATTATGAAACCTTATCTCCAGCACAATAGCCAAATACACTATATACCTAAAGAACTCAAACATTCAATAGTGGCTGCCCTGAACAGTAGGGAGGAAAGCATTTATTTTGTTTAGTTGGTCAGTATCTTCTATTTTCCACAATGATAATGTATCACTATCCTAAAAGTCCTTGCATAATTTTACTTATTAGGAGAATTCAAACCAGTAAAATCAAACACAGTTCCAAACTTTCCTAGTTATTCCTTGTAAATGTGGCCTTTACTCACTGACTTTGGGTGTATCAACACAATATTAAAAACACTGCTTTCTGACCCAGAGATATCTTTTTCTGCAATGAAAGAACTTACTGCTTAAAAGTAGAGAAGGCCTGGGGTCTTATCCAACAAACATTTCTTTTTAAATCAAGATCTAAAATAAAACCACAAATCTTCCTCTTGCTTCCCTTTTTATAATTACAGGTATCACTTAGGAAAACTGTTCTTTTGATTTATTTTTTCTTTTTCTACATATATACATAGAATTTGAGATCTGTCATAATTGCTAAAAAGGCCTGAATGAAATCTCTAGAATATTTGTAACATATGGGGTTCCCAAGTTTAATTTAATGGCCTTGGTGATCCGTTTTTGAGCCTAAAGCTTTCTCAATGGCCTCACCATCCCACTCCCCATACAGCCCATTCTCCACTGAATGATTTTATCACGTAAATCAGATGTTTGCTGTGTAGCTTTAAACCCTCCCAGGGCTTCCAAGTGCCTCAGAATAACATCCCCACTCCTTACCCACCCTCCCTTCTAAAGCTCATTTCCTACCCTCTCCTCGCCCCAGTCACACTGGTCTTCTCACTCTTTAAAACTCTCACTGCTGCACACTTGTACTTACTGCTCTTTCAAACTGGAGAACAGTTTCCGCTAATCTCTGCCTGGACACATCCCTCATGAGTCAGGTCTTAGCTAAAATGTCACCTCCTCAGAGGTGCCTGTCCTGACGGCCCAATGTAAAGCAACCTCACCCACATCTCAGAGGTCCTTTGTGATTTTATTTGTGCTGAAATTATCTTTTTAAAAAATTATCTATTTCTCAAAATGAAAAGGTAAGCTCCATGAGGGCAGGGATTTTGTCGTGATTACCAATGAATCCCCAAGATACTAGAACGGTGCCTGACACATAGTAAGAGCACATTACATATCGAATTGAGTGAATGAAAGTGAAATTCCTGATGTCCCCCTCCAAAGGTGGTTTCTGTCCAGAGCTCTCTTACTCGGTACATGGTATTCCCCATCAATCCTGTTGGGCAAGGTAGAAACCTAGAAGTCATTCATGGTCTCTCACTGCACCGCCCCCCCATGATGCAACCCAGCACCAAGGCTTGATGTTGTTTCCCTTACCCAATTCTTCAGTTTCATCCACTTCTGTCCATGCCCACCCTCCTCAGTCCAAGCTATCAACATGTCCTACTTCAACTACCCCCATGACCTTCTAAGGCACAGTCTACTCTTGCCTTCCATTGTAACCAGAAAGGTCTTTAAAATATTTCAATGGCTTCCATTGCTCTCAAGATAATGATAAAAATTTTCCATATTGCTATCTTTTCTAGACTTATCTTGACCTACTCCCTGCCACACACTATACTTGCCTTTGTTTCTTAGAACTCTACGGGGGCCCCTGCGTGGTACAGTTTGTTAAGCATACGACTCGGTTTTGGCTCAGGTCATGATCTCAGGGTCATGAGATCAAGCCCTGCATCAGGCTCCACCACTCAGTGAGGAGTCTACTTAAGACTCTCTCTCTCCCTCTCCTCTGTCCCTCCCCACAATCGCTTGCACACTCTCTCTCTGTCTCTCTCTGAAATAAATTTAAAAAAAAAAGAACCCTATATTCTTTCTCACCACAGAATACTGACACATGCTATGCTTCTCTTCTCCACCCTTTTTACCTCATCAACTTTTCCTCTTCCTCAGTATCTCAACCCAATTAGGATTTCTTCTAAGAAGCATCCTTGACTTCCAAGAAGCTTCCAGACTTCCAATTTCTGACCACCACCTCCTACCTTTAAAACTAATCCCCAGGGGCGCCTGGGTGGCTCAGTCGTTAAGCGTCTGCCTTCAGCTCAGGTCATGGCCCAGGGTCCTGGAATCGAGCCCCACATCGGGCTCCCTGCTCCGCAGGAAGCCTGCTTCTCCCTCTCTCCCACTCCCCCTGCTTGTGTTCCCTCTCTCACTGTGTCTCTCTCTGTCAAATAAATAAATAAAATCTTTAAAAAAAAAAAAAAACTAATCCCCATGGGTACCCTAATTTCAACAAGTCTGCCAAGACGTTCCACTGATCCTGTGACCTCTGCACTGTGCCTTACCTTCCCAAGTCCTATTTTTCTGCCCTAACCAACTCAGTCTCCAAGGCCAATCATCATAGTCACTTCCCGGCATATACCTTAACTCCCTGAGCCCCCTTCTCATTTCCTCTTCCTCCTTGACAAAACATGAACCCCAGTTAAATCCAACTCTCTACTTATCCTGCACCTCTGCAGCCAAACATGCTGGAGAAAAACACACAACTCATCAACATCAAATTTGTGACCACTAGCCAAAAATGGGCCCTTTATGTTACCCTGCATTATCTCACATTTCCCTGGCCCAATCCCTCTCCCACTCTCTGAAAAGACTATTTCATGTCTTCTTTTCTTTACTCAAACCTCCAACCTTTTCTTCCCCAGCCTCATTCTCAGCCAGGATCTTTCTTCATGTGCCACCAAGAAACAATCCAAAGAGACTTTCCCAAAGCCCCCACCACATCTCCCTAGTGCTCACGTATTCTGCCTCCTCTGTAACAATGAAGGAACTGTCAGAGTGCCTAAAATCAACCCTTCTACTCGCTCCTCCCCAGACCCTGTGCAACATCTCGAGTGGTGCAGGGCACTCAGGGCACAGGTGTAAAGGGCCTGTGGCTGGGGCTGCATCAGCGTTTTCTCTCTTTAAAAGTGTTCTTGTTGGTAAGTGTCTGCCTTCGGCTCAGGTCATGGCCCAGGGTCCTGGGATCGAGTCCTGCATCAGGCTCCCTGCTCAGCGGGGAGCCTGCTTCTCCCTCTGCCTCTCTCTCTCTCTGTCTCTTATGAATAAATAAAAAATCTTAAAAAAAAAAAAAAGTGTTCTTGTTGGATTATGCAGCCATCAAAAAAACCGAAATCTTGCCATTTGCAACGACGTGGATGGAACTGGAGGGTATTATGCTAAGCGAAATAAGTCAATCAGAGAAAGACATGTATCATATGACCTCACTGATATGAGGAATTCTTAATCTCAGGAAACAAACTGAGGGTTGCTGGAGTGGGGGGGGGGAGGAGAGGGATGGGGTGGCTGGGTGATAGACATTGGGGAGGGTAGGTGCTATGGTGAGCGCTGTGAATTGTGCAAGACTGTTGAATCACAGATCTGTACCTCTGAAACATAATACATTATATGTTAAGAAAAAGAAGAAGACAGTAGGAAGGGAAGCATGAAGCGGGGGGAAATCGGAGGGGGAGATGAACCACGAGAGACTATGGACTCTGAGAAACTGAGGGTTCTAGAGGGGAGGGGGGAGGGGGGATGGGTTAGCCTGGTGATGGGTATTAAGGAGGGCACGTACTAAATGGAGCACTGGGGGTTATATGCAAACAATGAATCATGGAACACTACATCAAAAACTAATGAGGTAATGTATGGGGATTAACATAATAAAATAAAATTTTAAAAAAAAGTGTTCTTGTTGGGGCGCCTGGGTGGTTCACTCAGTTAAGTGTTTGCCTTTGGCTCAGGTCATGATCTAAGGGTCCTGGGATCGAGCCCCCGAGTCTGCTTCTCCCTCTCTCTCTCTGCCCCTCCCCACTGCTCGCACTCTCTGTCACTCTCTCAAATAAATAATCTTAAAAAAAAAAAAACTGTTCTTGTCAACATATAAATGTGCTGTTACCTCCTTCATCTTGACCTCACTCCCAACTACCACCAGTGATTCTGCTTCCCTTCATGGAAAAGACTCTTAAAAGAACTGTCTGTGATGACTGCCTCTGATCTCCTCTCATTTCTCTTGAACTCACTTGCATTTAGGCTTTTGTCCCTCCCTACCACCAAAACTGCCCTTTGTCAAGGCCACCGATAATACCCATGTTGTTAAATCCAATCACCAGTTCTTAGACCTTACTGATCCATCAGTAGCACTGACACTCCCTCCTTTTTTTTTTTTTTTAAGATTTTATTTATTTATTTGAGAGAGAGAGACAGAGATGGTGACAGCGAGCACGAGCAGGGAGGAGAAGGAGAAGCAGGCTCCCCCCCGAGCAGGGAGCCCGATGCAGGGCTCGATCCCAGGACCCCAGGATCATGACCTGAGCCGAAGGCAGAAACCCAACCAACTGAGCCACGCAGGTGCCCGACACTCCCTCCTCCTTGACACCTCCAAGGTACCACAGTCTCCGATTTCCCACCGCCTCTCAAGCTATTCCTCATCAGCCTCTTTGCTGGGTACACCTCCATTTCCCAGTATGAAAAAACTGCGGCTGACACCTGTCTGCACGTACACTTCTCCATCTGTACCAACTCCCCGGGTGATCTCCCCCAGTCTCAAGGCCTCACATACTATGTGCCATTGATACGGTACACACTCAAATCTGCAGCTACAGCCCAACCTCCCCTCCCACCCTCCAAACTTGGAAAGGCAACTGCCTATGGCTACTTGTACATCTAGTAAGTTTCTCAAATGCAATGTGTCCAAAATAGAACTCTTAGTCTTCCCTGACAAACCGTTTCCTTACACGGTCTTCCCCATCTCAGTTAAGTGGCAACTCCATCCTTACGCAAAGGCCAAAAATCTTGAGTCATCCTTGATTCTTGTCTTTCTCCCATGCTATATCTTAACCATCAGCAAATCTGGTCGGCTACACCTTCAATGCATATCCAGAATCGGACTTCATCACACGACCTCCACTGCTACCAGTATGAACCAAACGACCATCACTTCTTGCCTGGATAGTGTAATTGACTCCTATCTGGTTTCATGCCCCTGCTCTCACATCCCTACTGTCTGTTCCCAACACAGCAGCTAGAGTAACCACGGGAAAACCTAAGTCAAATCGTATCACTCCTCTGCCCCTCCAAAGGCTTCCCATTTCATTCAGAATATAATTCAAAGTCTTTGCTATGACCTATCAGGCCCTATACAGTTTAGTTCCCCACTATGCTTCCGAACTCACTGCCCACACTCTCCCTCTCTTGCTTTCTGGCTGGTCCCCAAGGAATCGGGTACCTGATCACCTCAGGGACTTTGCACTTGCTGTTCTTTTTACCCAGAATGCCTTCCTACATATGCACATGGATCAATCTCTCACCCACTTCAGATTCTGCTCAAACACCACCCTCTCAGTGAGAACTTCCCTGGCTACTTCCTATTGGTCTCCCCTGCTTTATTTTTCTCCTTACTACTTACCACTGTCTAAAACACTATGTATTGCACCTGGTTATCCTATTTATCGTCTCTCTTCTCCACTAGAATAGAAGTTCAATAAGGGCCAGAATTTTTGCCTGCTTCTTTCACTGCTGTATCTCCAATGCTAAAACAGTGCCTGGAACATAGCTGGAATACCACTGCCACCCAGCAGATACTCAGTAAGAAGTATTATTTTTCTTCTCTCGCTTCCTGTTGAGTCACTATTGACAAGATTTAAAAGTATATCAGCAGAGGGGCACCTGGGTGGCTCAGTCGGTTAAGCATCTGCCTTCGGCTCAGGTCATGAGCTCCAGGTCCTAGGATTGAGCCCCACATTGGGCTCCCTGCTCAGCGGGGAGTCTGTTTGTCCCTCTCCCTCTGCCCCCCTGCTCATGCGCTCTCTCTCTCTTTCAAATAAATAAATAAAATCTTTTAAAAAAAAGTGTATCAGCAGAAATAGAATGTTACTGTCAGAAAAAACAATTCAGTGCCTTTGCCTTACTCAAAGCAGGTTAATAGCATCATCTTCACATACGACATACAGAATTTCCTAAGATCTGAACCTATTATTCATTTGTTACATGTGACTAAAATAATCACTTCCTAAAGATGTTTTTTCTCCCAAAATATAAATATTTACCTTCCTAAAATCATTCTTTGCAGTTTCTAAGCCATCCTGAGAAGACATTCTTTTCCTCTGCTCTGGGACTGGGAGCCTCACTTTAGATGGAGACACTAAAACAGCACCACCTGGAAAAATGCAGAAGACAACAGGTCTCAAACTAAATTCTCATGTAGAAAAAGCAGGTAAAATAAGAACTACAGTGTCTGCCCATTACCAACAGCTGGAGTGGTGAGATCGTGATGAGTCCTTTGGATTCCACCAAGTTCTCTTAGCTTTGGAGTAGGAAGCCGGCCTCCTTTTCCAGAAGATACAGAAGAAGAATCTGACCTACAAGTCCAAACAAGCTACTATGAAGCATTTCCTCCAGAAAATAGGATTAAAAATATTTTGTCATTACTGTGCAATAATAAAATATACAATTTATAAGATAAGACCATTTTGTTTCTGAAAAAATAACAAATCCACATGCAGTTAAGAGTGACTGAATATTGAAAAAGAGGGAAGATCACTGCAAGTCAGCAACAATAAAGCAGAGAATTCTTCCATTAAATCAGGGCCTAAGTTTCCTATGAGGCACAAAACTCATGACGGAATGAGAAGGGATTTGGATTATGAACAAAAAGCACCATTATCAGTGGTAAAGAACCACTCCCTAAAGCAATTAACATATAAACCAACAAGAATTAGCTATCTGCAGAAACCACTTATTTTAATATTACAAAATATTATCTTTCTTTCTTGGCAAAACATTTGATATTAAAGAATATCAGCTATTTTCCTCAAGTCATAAAGAAAGCCATTCTCCCAGACACATTTACAAATCTGGCAAATCATAACCAGCGGGACATAAATGAAAATAACCCTAACTACTTCCTCCCCCAGTAGCTCACAGTATTCAACCGTTCAACTACTAATTACTGGTGACTCAAATACCTGAGTCAAACAAATTATAAATCATATTAAAAAAATGCCTGCTTTGTGACATTAAAGTAACATCTGTTCTCTATTAGTCATAAAACCAAGAGTGTAAGCCACTGTACTTAGTGACAAAACAAAAAATATTAACTGTGTGCATAATGCTTCCATATACCAACTATTTAAAACTCTCACCCTTCTTTTATCTTGTCTGCCTTAGATTTTTCATGTACTTCCAACTTCTCCAGCTCTCCCATATGAACCTGCTTGTCCTTTTCTGTTTTCTCCTCCTCCTCCTCCCTCTCCTCTCTCGGCTGTTTCTGCGTGCCTTCATTGGGGTTCTCTTCATCCCACGCCAGGCGCCTTCTAACAGGTACGGTGGGAGCATTTGACGTGCCCAATTTCTCTGTGGTATTTTTCTGCGGCTGCTCTTCCAAGACAGGCCTTTTTTCTTCCAGTGTTGTAGAAGGACATTTCTGCAAAGTCTTATGGCTTGTAGGATCTCTGCATAACAAAAACAGTTTCAAACTTGAGTTTGAGATTTCTAGTTTATGCCAAATTTAGAGAGTCTGTCATTCCCTTCCAGTGTTCACAACTAGGTTTCCCACCGATATTACCTTGCCCAGATACTAAAGAAAGAAATCTAATTAAGAGTTCATTTCACAGTATAATAAACTAAAGCTACAATTTGGATTTTCTATTAAAATACTCCAAAATAAAATATATGTATCTCCTCTCACTCCTACCTTCACACATGCATGCCTGTACGATTGCTGACAACACTCGTGAGTGTGTCCTCGACTGGCATTTACACACATAAACGGGGACTCCACATGGTCTAACTTGTTCACTTACTCAATTAGGGTTTATGCACAAACTCAAGTATACTTGTGGATCAAGCAAATTGATTCAAATTTTACACTTTAGATAATCTTTTCCAGACACCCCTAAAGAATGGATTTTGTGATGAACTTTTAAAATCAGATGTCATAATTAGAACTTATAGTTCAGTTCGGCTTATATGACTTTATTAATATACCATAAGAACTAAAGACTATTTTATTTGCTACAAATCAATGTGCCATTTCTCTTAATAACGTTCACTTTAAAACCCAAAAGAGCGGAGAACTGTCCCACAGAATCAGGGCCTAAGTGTCTTATTAGCCACGGAAATCTGTTGATGAATGGTAACAGGATGTACACTAGCTTATATTCTCTAAGGTGTCATTGTTGTCGCTACCTTTTCTTCTTCTTACTTTTTAACGTTCTTTCCATCTATTGCATAATCATTCCTAGCCTACCCCTAAGAAATATTATAAAAATTACATATATATATAGTATAAAGTCCAGTCTTCCAGATTTACACTATGGATTATTTACACACAGCTTTACTTTTCACAGAGAATACACTAAAAATAATGAAATGTAATAAATGGCTGGCGTATCTCCATTTGACCAGAAGACAAATTTTGAATGGTCATGTCAATTTCCTATAAGATTCCATGATCTACCTAAGCTACAACATACTTTTGTGCCATCCACAAAGAACATAGCTCACCCAGCAAGATCTAGAGCTCTAATGTTACTACTAATGGTTCCTTCTGAGCTTGTGGTGGAGGAGACATCCCAACAGCAGTTGTTGTCAGACAGAATCTGATTCAGATGGTCCCGAGAAAAATGTGTTCCTTGAACTCGTTTCCTATAAAACTCAGCCTTCTCTCGGAGTTCTTTAACCTACGCGGGAGAGTTGAGACATTGTGTATTATTTTAAGTGCTCCTTTGCAAATATCACGACATAGCTTATCAAAGATGATGCACAAATACAGCCAGAGAACAAGGAGAAAGGCAGGCAAAAAGAGCCACAGACATTCGTCAGACTATGTGCATTTTTAAGCAGAAACTGAAACAGTCAAGCTAAAGCGCAATGCAGTTATTTTATTTCAGGCCAGCAGGCAGGAAGAAGAATTTGTAGCAGCTAAGAAAAATATTGACACCTACTTCATATTTCAAATGAAATTATACAAGTACTCTATGCATTATTACAGTTTTTAAAAACTCAAAAGCAACCAACCTCCGCATACCACATGGCATTTAGAGAAGCCTAGGAGAGGAATACAGAAACACACTTAATGACAGGTTAATGCCATAGTTGAATATTAATGGGAATCAATGAAATACCTTATTATCCTTCCTTCTAAATATATAACAAAGTTGTCAATCAATATTTTTAAATTATTTTTAGTAATATTTAATTCACAGAGGAAGATATCTTAATATTACCTTGAACACCAGCCACATTCTTGCATGGCTGGAGTGCTATCAACAACAGGTAACCTAATTATTTTTCCTACTTGCCCACCTCTGGAAGAGTAGTGAGAGTAGGACATGCCAGAAACCCTATCCTGGCTTTATTTCCTGGCTTCCACAACAGCTCTACTACCGTACAAGCCCCCAGTGAGAGAATCATGAGGCTTCCTTCTCCAACTTCCTCAAGGTTCCCTTGGCATCAGCAAAACCTCAACTTTTAAAAAATGTATTAAATAAAAATTGTGATATATTCAGCAAAGTGACAATACAAAATAATATTCTGATGAATTATAAGGTAATCTGAATTCCCTAATATGCAAATAACATCTTTTCATACGGAAAGGAGCCTTTTATACTCTTTGAAACCCTTTCATTTTATACACCATACTGCCACCTGCTGGCTTCCCTAAATTCAATTCCACCTTGTAAAAAAATTAAGTTGCGGCTTAAAATTGTTTAAAATCATCTTTATTTATTCTTCAAAAACTCAATTTTTCCTATCATAAAGATGGGATAATAACATTAAAAGGATATGCAGATACTGTCTGCTAAAATTGTCTTTCACTTACAGGCAAAAAAGCAAATAATGAAACTTGGCATTGCAAAAGCAACTAGAGAAACACATCCTCAGTTCCTTAAGGAGACACTCCTGAATGCAAAGGGATGAAAGTCTTACATCTGTAGGGAATTAGCCAAAGCAAAGGACAACATCTGTCATGGTGGCATAAGAAACCATATAATCCTAGCAGGGTCCTACTGTTCTAATGAACCAAACCTGAAACATTCCTGAAGGATAATTCAAGATATTTTCTTCACTGCCAAGAAAAATTGAGCCATGTTCATCTAACATTTCTGTTCATTCCTAAAATTTAAATTCCTAGTAGTGGTTTTTGCATTTAACAGGTGGAACTGAGACATACAGTTTGAATCTGTTGAAATACCAACCAGGGTGTTTTGCTGTTTTTAAGTAGGCTCCATATGCAATGTGGGACTTGAACTCAGGACTCCAAGATCAAGAGTCGCATGCTCTACCAGCAGAGCCAGCCAGGCGCCCCCTCACCAGGGCATTGTGAATGCAGAGGCCTTGTTATAAAGTGCCTTGATATAATCCAGAGTTTATTTCTATTAAATCCCCTCGTGTTTCAAATGTCTCACAGCTACTCCATCACCTACATGGTCAAATCTTCAAGCTCTAGCACAGCCTCCTTCTCCGTTCTCATCTCTCTTCATGCATATCCCCGTTAGTACTTATTTCATTCTACTGGAATTAATGGCTCTCATCATTCTCCGCCATTAACCTGTGAACTCCACAACGTGAAGGAAAATGCAGCACATCCTCAGTGTCCTGAGTGTGGACTAAGTGCTAGGCCTGAGCTGGATGTCTGGGAGCCAGAGATAAGCAAGAAAGTCCCCACAGCACTCAATGTGCTCATAGTCCGATAGAGGAGGCAGACCTCCTCCTCTATGACAAATTATCATCATAATACTGGATGGTCTATGCTGCAATAAACAAAGGAGATATAAATTGAAGGAGTGGTTCAAAAGGGGGTTCATCAGCCCTGCACTGTATTGGGGGGGGCAGGGAAGAGCAGCAGAGAAGGCTGTATTCCATCCAGGTGGGAGGACCTACTGTCTGATGAATGAGAAGATGGGTAAATATCCCTCCATGTGCCAGTGATCTGGTTTTATTTGTCAACAATATTTTTTTTCAAAAAGGAGATCCTAGGGAAATTCTGTAAAACTTTATTCAGTTCTATTTGTTAATGACATTCAAATCTCAATGTTTTAAATTTATCACAATCTTTATTAATAATCTTAGTGCTAATGTAACAGTGGCTTACAAATACCTAGTTTTAGATTTCTATGATCCTAAACTAGGATGGAAAAATAGAAAGTTGATATTTCCTAAAGCAAGTTGTTCTACTAGAAAAAGAAAAAAACCTAATGGTATGAACTCAATATCAAGAACGATCCCTACAACCAACAAGCAGAGCCACTAAAAAGGATATGAACTCAATTAAACTCAATTAAAACAATACACACATCCCTTTCCAAGTCAAGTAACACCATCAGATTACAGGATATAAATGTAAGAAGTAAAATGTTTTCATTGCTGAATTTCTTTTCCCAAAATAAGAATTCAACTAAGTTATTTAAAAATTTATATACAGGAAATTCAAATTTTAAAAACTGAAAGATTAAAAAATAAAATTTTTCCCCCCAAAAGTCATCCCCATCAAAATGAGTCACCTTATGCCTAGCCATCCTTACAATGTCTGTCAAATTACAGCATGTCTCTCAAATGTGGAACTTTATCTTGAAATAAGGTCCTATTTGTGGAAGACACGTTAGGAAAAAGTATCTCAATTAATGTAGTTTGGATGATTAGAAGATTACCTAACAATCAAGAAAAAAGAAATTTAACACAGGTTCAGCAGTTATTCTAAGGATGAAACCGGACAATCACAACTGCTGGTTATTATTAAAAACAACCCTTTAAGTGGGCATCTTAAAAAGCAGTAGTGCCAGTGGTTATATGATGGACATAACACATATACAGCCACTGGGCAAATAAAACCAACCACTGTGATGTTATATGAACTGACAGCTGGGTCTTAGGATAAAATACCCAGGCACTAGACTATAAATAGATTCAAAAAGTTTAATATTTCAAACAACATAGGAGAAAATGAGTATGACATATGGACCAGAAACTATAACAGGACTCAAAAAGCTAATATTCTAATGATGATAAAGTCACTGATGTCCAAGTGCATTTGAAGAGTGTGAATAATATTCCTTCATGAAACATTAGGAGAGGGAAAATGAGCGAGTACCTTATATTTGGATACCTCATAAGCAGCCACATAAGTAAATGTCTTCAAGTTAAAAATAAAATCTAAGATTTAAGTAAAATACGGCCCATATTAAATATCTATGACCTGGTCAACTGAAACAGCTATCACCATCAGTGATATAATTTAGCTAAAACTTCTTATTCTTTTCTAGTTCCAACTCACTTTTTGAATTATTTTGCCCACAGAGGTTAAGGCAAACAATCGCACTAATTTAAACACTAACCACCACCATTAGCAATGAGTTTTTTTGAAAAGCCTAAAAAAGTCATGTTACCAAGATGTTATAATAGGAAACCTTGAAAAGACAGGTCTTAAATTAACATCAACAGAAATGTTTTCTTCCATCAGGGCAGGATAAGGACTATCACCTTATCATGACTCCAGACAAAACAATCCTCTAGTCCATTAAATTTTTAGATCTGACGCCTAAATACCAGCTCATCTTAAAGATGTCTCAGAGACTAAGAGATAATCTTTCCACAACAAGGAGCCTCTCATGAGTTCAACCTAGTGAAGCCCCTAAATATAACAGGCCAGTGGCTAACACCTATTAACTGGCCACACTAGCCGTCTATTGCCACGCTCTGGACCCTGCCTCCGCCCCCGGCCTTTCCTCATTCCCCTTGAGACTGCTCAGAGCTCCTTGCCAAGGTCTGGCATGGCCATAAACTGCTCAGGAGTTTCACTGACGCAATTCCTTTGCTTCATCAGGCTTGCTCCCGATGCTCTTATTTTTAACTTTATTTCAGCAGGGTGAATACATGAATTTTGCCTCCAACAATATTTGGGACAGCTTCAAGATTTGCCTTTTACTGTGCCTGTATTGCTGCTGAGCCACGCTCACGTAGGGCAGGAGAGAGCACGAGGGGCAGCCACAGTGGAAGGAATCAAGTAATGTCCTGAAACAACACGCAGAACACAGGACTCTCCCCAGGACATTGGCCCGGGGGCTGCCCGTGCCAAGAGCCAGCCGCTCAAAGTGCCAAAGCCTTCCTCCAGAGGCTCATGGCATGCAACTGTTAGCCATGGCTTGAAGTACAGAGCTATATAAAAGATTCATTCCCCATCCAAATGATCTCTCTCTTCACAATGATGGGGGGGGGGTGTTGACTAAAGTCTAAATTGTTTACTTTTGCTTATTCACACAGAAAAGGCAGGAAACCATCAAGATGGGGTTTAAAAGATGGTAACTGCACAACAACCAGAAACTCCACTGTTTTTGACTGTAAGAAGCTTCCCAATTCTAGATGACCCTTTCCCTCAAATCTTTCTTTAGGATCCTCAGAATTTCTCCCATATGTCGGGGTATCCCAACACTAGAACTCAAACCTCTATCAGCACAGACCACTCCTCCCTTATGCTTACAGTCACAATACACACCGCCAGCAGATGCCACTGTCAGACAAACTAATCTTGAAAATTAATCTTCAGTTGAGACACTGGAGGTCTGGATATTATTAAGAAAACTACAACGCTTTAATTCTATAAGCTGAGTTGTATTAACACAATGAAATATTGGATTGTAAAAAGCCTTTTTAACTTAAAAGACTTTAATCATAAAAATCTCTAGTTGAAAAAGGAGCTATTTGATATAAAAAAAGTAAACATACTGATAAATTATATCCTAACATATAACTTTAAGTTCCTGATACTTTCAGTGCTACTATTGTATCACACATCTTTAAACTGTATTCTCTATTACTAAATGAAACTCACTGTGAAATTAAACTGAGATACAGGCTCAAAGAAAATGTGGGCTTGGGCACCTGGGTGGCTCAGTTGGTTAGGCGACTGCCTTCGGCTCGGGTCATGATCCTGGAGTCCCGGGATCGAGTCCCGCATCGGGCTCCCTGCTCAGCGGGGAGTCTGCTTCTCCCTCTGACCCTACCCCTCTCAAGCTCTCTCTCTCTCTCATTCTCTCTCTCAAATAAATAAATAAAATCTTTGGGAAAAAAAAAAAAAAAGAAAATGTGGGCTTACTGAGCTTATGTATACTCACCTGATCCGGTATGTTTTCCTTCACACGGGTCCAAGCCCCGGCTTTATATAAATACTGGGCTGGGCTCAGAAATTTTGCCCTATATTCAGAATTCACCTTCCTAACAGAAATGAAATGAGAGTAAATATTTCACCATGTTGAACATCTAAATACCATGATATTTTTCCTCTAAAATACGTACCCAAGCCTTTGATGTCTCCAAGTCGTAAGCTTCTTTTTAGGCTGGTTTGACTCTTTTGATTCCATCTCTGCTTCTAATTTTAAAGGGTCATCTGTTTTATTATACTAAAATGGAAATAATTTAAACATTTTATGCTTAAAATATGTCATACATTAAAGTGAAAACATAAATGTTATAAACTATAATTGGATATCATATTACAATTCTGTTTATGGAAGTAAGTTTTAACTACGAAAGATAACCTAGAATTCACAAGCAATCAACAAGCAAGTTTTGAAACTAGTATACCTGGCTGGTTTTTTGAAGTATAACTCAGGACTGGGTTCACTTTATAACAAAGAAATTTTATATCCTTAGCTAGGAAAAAAACCTTTTAATTAACAAATAAACATGTAAATAAATAAACTTGACATTACTACCTACTGAACAGTGTTTTTACATTTGCCTTTGATATTCTAAATTTACATTTAATTGTGTTACAGTAATTAAGTAGGTTCCACGCCCAGTGTGGAACCCAATGGGTCTTGAACTCATGACCCTGAGATCAAGACCTGAGCTGAGATCAAGAGTCAGACGCTTAACCAACTGAGCCACCCAGGTGCCCTTGGTGTTACAGTAATACATATAAGGTTCCACTGAGTATGTTACCAACCACATTGCTTTACTGAATAACTTAACCCTTTTTTTCTGCCTAATATCACAGATCCAAAAATATGTATATATGTGTGTACAGAAATAAATATACAGATGCCAATTTACTTTTAGTCATATAATTTCTATTTTTAGAACCCATAAAGTATTAGCAATAACATTCCAGAAAATTTGAAAATAGGACTTATACTCCACTTACCTATAATTTACAATAATTTTAACCTGACACTGTAACTTAAATAAGGTGTAGTTTCAGAGGCAGCTACCTGTACGTGCTAAGGTAAATCACATAATTTAGACTAGCTATAATTTGGCATGCTGAAGCTTTGGTTTTAAAATGCATGTATGTATATTTTAAATAAAGAAAGAGATAACATAATATAACATAACATAAAAAAGGGGTGCCTGGGTGGCTCAGTCGGTTAAGCATCAGACTCAATCTTGGCTCAGGTCTTGATCTCAGGGTCCTGAGTTCAAGCCCTAAGTTGGGCTCCACCTTGGGCGTGAAGCCTACTTATAAATAAACAAACAAACAAACATACATATATGAATGTATGCGTGTTTGCGTTTGACTTCCATTATTTAATTTAAAGTATATATTTCTATCTCTACTGTTAGCCCTATAACTCACATTACTGTAAGGCCAATCATTTGCTATTAGATATCACAGATTTAACTGCTGTATTGCCAAGCACTTGCCACAGTATTATATTTATTTAGTTACATCTCTGTCTCCCCACTAGCCCAAGAGCTGTGTGGGGCTTAGTGTGGTTATCATTGTATTCTCAGTACCTACCTAGTGCCTGGCTCCCACTAAGTGCTTAATGAATATGTGACATTTAATGAACAAACAAAGGAATTAATAAACTAGCTAAAACCAAAAATCTCAGGTAGTGTTTGGTAAAAGAAAATGTGTAGAGTCTAAAATCCTAAGTTTTTTATTTTGTTTAAAGTTAAAAGTTGATGAATACCTTCTTTTCAGGAGATACTGCTTCAAAATTTCCGTTCTCTTTCAAATCATTTCTTAATTTTGGTTCTTTCACTGGAGATAAACCCTTGAAATTTCTTCTGTATTCAGTTTCATGGATGATTGAGTTACCTTTGAATTGTGGAACAAATTTGCTTTTATTGTGGAAAACCTTAAAACAAAAATTACTTTAGTTTAGTATTTTTGTTGGTTAAATATACAAAAATTAGTTTTTCAAATGCTTTAAGAATTTCACATATAAAGTTGAATTATAGGATAACAAAAAAGTGAAATTATGACTGTTTATAATTTCATTTCATATATCGAATTAACATCCAAACGACAACAAAAGCAAAGACAAAATGGACTGCATCAAACTAAAAAGCTTCCATACAGCAAAAAAACAATCAACAAAGAGGCAACCTATGGAATGGGAGAAAATATCTGCAAACACTACATCTGATAGGTTAATATTCAAAATATATAAGGAACTCAAGCAATTCGATAGCAAGAAAACCACTTGATTTTAAAAATGCACAAGGGAGGGGCCCCTGGGTAGCTCAGTCGGGTTAAGCATCTGACTCTTGGTTTCAGCTCAGGGTCCTGAGATTGAGCCCCGCATGGGGCTCCAATTCAACAGGGAGTCTGCTCAAGGATTCTCTCTCTCCCTCTCCCTCTGTCCTTCCCCCCACCTTGTTTGCTCTCTCTCTCTGAAATGAATAAAATCTTAAAAATTTTTTTAAAAATAAATAAAAATAAAAATGGGCAAAGGGACATAAAAACAGACATATACATCAATGGAACAGAATAGAAAAACCCCAAAATAATCTTATGAATATATAGTCAATTAATTTACAACAAAGGAGCCAAAAATACACAATTGGGAAAGTATAATCACTTCAATAAATGGTGCTGGGAAAACTGGACAGTCACATGAAAAAGAATGAAACTGGACCCTGTCAACCCAAAATAGATCAAAGATGTGAACATAAGGACTGAAACTATAAAACCCCTAGAAGAAAACCTAGGCAGTAAGCTCCCTGACACTGGTGTTGGCAATGATTTTTTGGATTTGACACCAAAAGCAAAGGCAACAAAAGCAAAAATAAACAAGTGGGACTACATCAAACTTAAAAGCTTTTGTACAGCAAAAGAAAGCACCAACAAAGCGAAAAGGCAATATGGAATGGGAGAAAATATTTGCAAATCATATATCTGGTAAGGGGTTAATATCCAAAATAATAAAGAACTCCTACAACTCAGTAGAAAAGCAAACAAGCTGATTAAAAAATAGAGGAATTGAACAGACATTTTTCCAAAGAAGACATATAGATGACCAAAAGGTATATGAAAAGGTACTCAACATCACTAATCATCAGGGAAATGTAAATCAAAACCACAACAAGATATCACCTCACACCTGTTCGAAGAGCTATTATCAAAAATACAAAAGATAATGAGCATTGGCAAGGATGTGGACAAAAGGGAACCCTTGTACACTGTTGGCAGGAATGTAAATTAGTACAGTCATTATGAAAAACAATATGGAAGTTCCTCAAAAAATTAAAAATAGAACTACCATACAATCCAACAATTCCACTTCTGGGTACATTTCCAAAGGAAATGAAATCAGTATCTCAAAAGAGATATCTGCATTCCCATGTTCATTGCAGCATTATTCACAATAGTCAAGATGTGGAATCAACTTAAGTGTCCACCAATAGATGAATGGAGAAAGAAAATGATACATACAATTAGAGGAATATCATTTGGCCTTAAAAAAGAAGGAAACACTGTCATTTGCAACAAAATGGATGAACCTGGAGAACATACACTAAGTAAAATAAGCCAGGCACAGAAAGACAAATACAGCAGAACTCACTTATATTGGAATCTAAGTTAAGTAGAACTCAGACACAGAAAGCAGCGTGGTGGTTACCAGGATCTAGGGGGTGGGAGAAATGGGGAGATGCTTGTCAAAGGGTACAAAGCTCCAGTCTGCAGAAAAAGTAAGCTCTGGAGATCCAAGGTACAACACAGTGACTACAGTTACTACTACTATATTATATACTGGAAATTTGCTAAGAGGGTAGATCTTAAGACACATACACACACACATCCAAAAAGGTAACTATGTGATAAATGTGTTAATTAGCATGACTGTGGTATTTTACAATGTATATGCATATCAAAACATTACATGTATACTGTAAATATATCATTTTTAGTTATCAATTATACCTCAATAAAGCTGGGGAAAAAATTCAAAGATCAACTTTCTATACTCATTACTATGTTTTGAATAATAATTACTATAATAAAAATAATGCTTAAGCCCCCCCCAAAAAAATGACCCATATCTTTTCTCCCCAAAGTTTCCTACCTCTCCCTTCCATCAGTATGGTAATGGGATATGTAAAATAGGCATATTTTAATGATATGAACATAGACATTCACTTTATAAGGCAATTCTGTTGTCAGCTCTAAAGGTTTTTTTCCTTCCTTGAAATGAATTTTTTTTCTTCCTCCAAAAAGAGAAGATTAACATTTTGAATGTCTGATGTGTTCATTTGTTCTGTTTTTCTCCTTTGCTTGCCTATCTTTAGCTTAATGCAAGGGGAAAAAATCAGGTAATTATTATGTTTTTATTTTTATTTATTTTTTATTTTTTTAAGATTGTATTTATTTACTTGTCAGAGAGACAGAGAGAGAGAGTGAGTGAGGGAGCAAGCAAGGAGAGTGGCAGGCAGAGGGAGAAGCAGGCTTCTCTGAGCAAGGAGCCCGATGCAGGACTCAACCCCAGGACTCTGGGATCACGACCTGAGCTAAAGGCAGACACCCAACTGACTAAGCCACCCAGGCATCCCTATGTTTTTATTTTTAAATGTTTCTTCTTATCTTTAGTATTTTATAATATGGTTTCTATTTTATGGTATATTACCACTGTCTAAAAAGAAAGAAAAAGGAAAAGATATGGAGCACAAATTAGCTATATTACTGCTTTACAATGCTGACTAGTGCATCTTCATACAGATCAAATTCCAAACAGAGTATCTTTTTCCTGAGTATAACCTCAAGGACTTTTCTGCCAAAAATTGTTCAGACTCCTTTACATATTAATACAAGACATCCTTTCAGAAAACAGGTGTTTGATAAAATAGAACTGAATAGCTTTAGAGGTTCCCTATCAACAAGCATTGAAAGTTTCCATCACATGGCTCTTCAATCCACAGACCCTGAAATTGATATGCTTTGAATTAACAAAGAGCATTTGCTTCCCCCCAAAATTATTTGAAACCTTCACTGATGAAAGCAATAAAACTACTAGTGAAGGTATCACCAGCAATTTATTTTATACTATATTTTGGGGCCTATAAAAAGAGCATTTCTACACAATGTTTCCACTGAAATACGTAAAAGCGGTCAGTGGGGCTTTGATTTGAATCAGCTTTAAAGGTTGAAAGGTGAAATGCTCTACAAAAACTGAACAATTATAATTTTCAGGCAGTAAGTAATTTTGTAGGTACACTTACTATTCAAGGACACTTGTGAGCCAGCAAAAGAAGTACTGTTCCTATTGACTAGATTCACAAAGAGTACAAACATCACCTTATGCTATTTTATATGTTCCTAAAATGTTATACAAATTTCAGTTTTTTACAAAACTGAGTAACAAGTAAGGAAGCCCAAAGCCGCCACAATTTATAGGATCACGGGTATTATTATCTTAGTGTAAGATGACTAATATTATTGTCTTGTTGAATCTACCCTCTCAGTCCTCAGGGGTATATAGGTTACAAGTGAATGTTGACATAGAAGAGAAAATGAATGTGAGGGTGTATGAAGGGGAATGTTTGTTTATAAAGAAAAATGCCAAGATCGTGAGAAAGAAAAGTCTAAGCTATCATGGGCCTCTGCAGATATTCTAAATGAGGTATTTCCTTACCTGGGCCTAGAAGTATGGTTAAGAACAAAAATGAGAGTTAAGAGCCTAAGAACTGTCTAGATGATGATGGTAGTAAAACAACAGAGTATTTATTAGTAATGGTTGTCCGGTACCAAAAACTGTGTACAGGTACACTGAAATCTAGTATCACATTTAGTTATCATAGCTTCTGAATTTTATAAATATAGTTAAACTGACAATTCCTATTACTGCTCATTTGATATAAAAACAAGCTTATGTATCTTGTGCTACTTTTAACGTATTTTGTATTTATTAAAATATTCAAAGCAGTTATGCCTTTCTTGCAAGACAGAAAACATGCAACGTATTAGTCAATGAACACAATGTTATAGATTAAAACCAATTTAATAATTTTTTTATTAAATAAAAAAAACTCAGCATGCAGAAACTTACCAGGCATCAAGTTTCATTACCCTGTCTCATATTTAGTGTATGTCATGGATCTGGCAACAATGATCATCAGTAGCCTAGGACAGTATCACATTACTACTATAAATCAGAAGTAATAGAATGATTTTAGCAAAAATCTCATTTTTACTTTTCTAGAACCTACCTCCAGGCCTACTTAAGTACCTAATTTCTTTTAGCTCTTAGTTCTGTGTAAATCTGCATCACTAGATCAGACGATAGTACTTAAAAATGTATTACATCCATTAAACTACCTGATTGGCTGCAAAAACTGGAGCAGTTTCTTTAGGGGTCTTCCAAACAAACTGCCTTTGATATTCAGAATTCCTCAAGACATCACGTGAAGGAACAACGGTCAATCCTGCTCTCTTCCGAAGAACTCTATCCAACTGTTAGGGAAAGAAAAATCCCACCCAGAGTCATTAAAAGTTTCTATTCAAACTTCTTGTACTTCGGTAAAAAAAACAACAAAAACAAGAACAACAAAAAAAATACATGTAACATGAAATCCACCCTCTTAACAAATTTTTAAGTATACAGTATTGTTATCTACATGCACATTGTAGTACAGCAAACTTTTTTCAATTGGTGATAATCTCCCTTTTAAACTGTCCAACCATTTAAAATTTCTTTCTTAATACTGTCAAGGAATTTTATTTCTTCATTTCTGTGTATTCCAGAAAAAGAGAGCATCTTTCAGTCCCTTCCTACCAATTACTCATAATTAGATCTATTACCAAGAAACAGCAGCACCTCACCTTATCCACACATTGCTTCTGGGACACCCTTCCCCTGCCCACCACTTACATATCACCTTCCTTGATTCTACCGTGCCCCCTTGGTTTTCGCAACAAGCCACGGATTCTTCACTTCTGAATGCCTCTCCGTGGTTCTGGTGGACAAGAAATGCAGAAGCAGTGGACTGAAGAAAAACATGCGAGGCAGAGAGATGTCTGCACAGGTCCCTGCAGCCTAAGCTTATGTGCTTGCAGGGACCTTCCACTGGCCAGGTGTGACATAAGAGAGCAGAACTCCAAGATCTTTGAGATCCAGCCAGAACTGCCTTGCCTTTTGCATTTTGTCAATTGTGATTCTGTTTGTTGACACAATAAGAAATTGAAAAGGGCCTAGGTAGAAGTCAGCTCACCAGCCCTGCCAGAGGTAATGGCCTACTACTCTCCCTCTCTGTCTCAATTTGATCTCTCCCTTAGGACTGTGGTGCTGATACAAGATGAATAAAATCCAGAGGCAGGCTGTCCATCCAATGAAGAGATATCTTAGTATAACCAGTACAAAATGGCAACTCTTAAGAATAGAATTCCCAATAACTAAAGTCAACAGTCTCCTAACTATTCTATAAGACATTAGATAAGAAAACAACAATGGAAAATTTTTAGGCACAAAATGTAGTATTACTGAAATGATGATGAAATTTACAAAGAATGCTATGCTTTCCAAAAGAAATACAGTGAATATACCTACCCCGTTATCTACATTTTCTGAATGCAGCTTGGTAGAATGCTGCAGGTCCTCATTTTCATTAACTGGTATATGGTTTGCTATTATATCCGCATCATTTTCCACAATATCTGAAGCCCCTTCAGCTCTGGAGTCTGTAGAGTGAGATCTGGTTCTTTTGGGAACCCTGGAGGCTTCTAGTGCAAGAACATTTTCTTGGTTAACATCATCTTTTTGTTCTGCCTCCTGTGATTCTGTTATTTCTGGGGCTTCAGGTTTTGGGGATACAACCACATCGTTCTCTGAGATCGCTCCATTCCACTCAAGAGATTTTGAAATCTGTGCGTCATGATAAGGGACTCTTCTTTTTGAAATAAAACTTGGCTCTCTTGTGATTCCTACAAAATATAGTGTAAAAAAATTGCAGCTACTGAAGTATAAGGTTACAAAGACAATTTTTCATAACATTTATGAGAGAAAAAATGGAATTGAAAATTCAGGTGAGATACAATGTCCTTCAAGTTGCAGGATACAAAAAAAAATAGGTATAGTTTGTCAACATAAAATCTTTAACTTTGCTTTTAAAAAAAAGTACTGAAAGTTTGACATGGAAAAAATTAAAAATTGGGATCACAGTGTTCGAGTCATCCTAACATAAGTCACCAGAATCGCAACGTGACAGGCCTGCCAAGCGACGCAGGACATGTTGCCTCCGTTTCAATTACTTTCCTGTGCTACTTAACAGAACAATGGGCCCTAGTATTGTCAAAATTTGGAACTTTTCACAAAGCTTCTCTTATGCACAGTAGACCAAGAAGAGAAGGGATGAGATGTCATTATGCTGGATCTTGGTTCTACATTTGCCTTGATTTCCTGAGAATTAAAGAGAATGAACCCTTTTAACAGAAGCTAAGATACTAGTTCTCTATATTTCTGTCTGGCAAGCAAATGTCCAAAAAACTTAACCTTCTACCCAAGTAAGAGGAGCTCTTTGGAATGACAGCCACCGAGATACTGTCCTAGTTTGGGGCCATTCTTTAAATAGAAGGCTATGCAGGGTGGGGAAGAAAGAATAAGACTAGAGGGAAGGAGAGGGAAGGTGAACCAAAAATCTGGCATGACATAAAACCCACAGTTCTTTAGCCTCTGTGACAGATGTTTTGGCCATTGAACCCAGGGTCCCCACTCTTACAACACTTCCCTAGTCTAGTGGCCTTCAAACTGGGTGCATGCATGTGTCTGGAGGCAAATGGAGACATTCTGGGGGATAAGCAGAAATGGGCCACTTAAGGAATCATTTTGCAGATCCTAACTCTATATGCACTGTTTCCCAACATTGGTCTGCCTGAGAGCTGCACCTGCCATCTTCAGTCTTCATTCCCATCCCCCCCTTTCCCACTTCGCAAAAGACACACCTCTCAGCCAGCCCCAAGGAACAAAAAATTCTCCTAGGTGTGGAGGATAAACAAAGAGACAATTTAAGGAAGTGTAACTACTGAGAATATCTGACAGCAAAGCAAAGAAGGCAGAGACTACAAATAACAAAGAAACAGTGCCTTATTTCATCCAGGTCCACACCTTTCCCACCTACCTATCTTAGAATTAAAATTCAGGAGTAAGGGTTGTCACGTGAAACAAATAGATATTAACATATGTTAACACATTTATAGGAATTGAAAAACAAAGTTAGACTTTTTTCTCAAAGGAAATAATTCTTTTTTTTTAAAGATTTTATTTATTTATTTGGGAGAGAGAGTGAGAGAGAGCATGAGAGGGGAGAGGGTCAGAAGGAGAAGCAGACTCCCCACTGAGCAGGGAGCCCGAGGAGGGGCTCGATCCCAGGACTCCAGGATCATGACCTTAGCTGAAGGCAGTCGCTTAACCAACTGAGCCACTCAAGCGCCCCTCAAAGAAAAGAATTCTAATTTGCCTGATTAGTTTGCCAATGAGGACTGACTTTACCAATTATATGATGAACATTTACCAAAAATTGAATGAGCTACACTGGCAGCTCCAAAGTTTTAACAAAACATATGTAAAACATATGCACAATATTCAATATGCCAGAAATCATATCCTTTGAAACTATTTGTTACACTTATGATTAAAAACATTAAAAATCTACTTAAAAATATGAAAGGATATAAAGACTTTCTAAACTCTCTTAAGGGATATGAACGCAAAAAAGTTTGAAGACCATTGCCCTAGACTTCCCTCTGCTTTAACACAGAGAGAGGCTTCTGGTAGAATAGCAAAATGAAAGCGGGGGCACCTGGGTGGCTCAGTCGTTAAGCGTCTGCCTTCGGCTCAGGTCATGATCCTAGGGTCCTGGGATCGAGCCCCGCATCAGGCTCCCTGCTCAGCGGGAAGCCTGCTTCTCCCTCTCCCGCTATCCCTGCTTGTGTTCCCTCTCTCGCTGTGTCTCTCTCTGTCATACAAATA